AAGGTTAACACTCAAAAAACAATAGCCTTCTTATACACAAATAACAGACTCACTGAGAGAGAAATTAGGGAAACAATTCTTTTTACAATAGCATCCAAAAAAAAGAAATATCTAGGAATCAATCTAACAAAGGAAGCAAAAGACCTCTACACTGACAACTACAGCACTCTGAAAAAAAGAGATCGAAGAGGATACAAGAAAATGAAAAGACATCCCTTGCTCCTGGGTAGGAAGAACCAATATAATGAAAATGGTCATACTTCCAAAACTACTATATAGATTCAATGCAATGCCGATTGAAATTCCAACAATAAAATTCACAGAACTAGAGAAAACAATCCAAAAATTCATTTGGAACCAGAAGAAATCTAAATTAGCAAAAGCAATTCTAAGCAACAGAGACATAGCAGAGGGTATCACAATCCCAAACTTGAAACTATACTACAAAGCTACTGCCATAGAAACAGCATGGTGCTGGCAAAAGAACAGACCTGAGGATTAGTGGAATAGATTAGAAGATGCAGAAGCAACTCCAGACATACTCAGCCACCTCATCTGACAAAGAAGCCAAACACCCTCATGGAGAAAAGATAGCCTCTTTAATAAATGGTGTTGGAAAAACTGGATTTCAACCTGCCAAAGATTAAAACTAGACCCATACCTATCACCATGCATTAAAATAAGATCAAAGTGGATTAAAGATCTAAATATTAAAACAGAAACACTAAACTTGCTGGAAGATAAGTTAGGTAGACTCGAAGACATTGGCATAGGAAAAGACTTTATGAACAAAACCTCAGTAGCACAGGAATGGCACAAAGAATCAACTGGGATCTCATCTCATTAAAAAGTTCTGCACTGCAAAAGAAACCACCAACAGAGCTAAGAGACAACCTACAATGTGGGAAAAAAAATTTTAGCAGCTGTAACTCAGACAAAGGACTACTATCTAGAATATGTAAAGAACTGAAAAAAATCAGACCCCCCAAATTCAAAGACCCAATTCAAAAATGGACATCTGAAATGAACAGACATTTCTCAGACAAAGAAGTAAAAGCAGCAAATAAGTATATAAAAAAATGTTCAACATCACTGGTCAT